TATGCGATACAAGATGGGTCGAGCGACATGACTCTGTACTCCAGTTCGTCGCAGACTTTCCAAGGATTATCGAGGCGTTGAATAAAGTATGTAAGTGGAACAACAGGGAAACGGCTGGTAAAGCAACAGTACTTATCGCTGCTCTGAGCTCGTTCGACTTCGTTATTGGGCTTTTTTGCTTAAGTGATGTTTTATCTTTGACACGCCCCCTTAGTGTATCCCTTCAAAAAGAAGACATGGATTTCGCAAACGCCTCCCAAAAAATTGAATCTCTAATTTCAGTTTTGGCAGATCAAAGGCAAGAGGTCGAAGAAAAGTTCAAGCAAATATTTACAGATGCAACGAAATTGGCAGAAGAATTAAACATAGAAGTAAAGAAACCAAGAACAACTGGTAGGCAAGTGAGACGTGAAAATCACGACACATCTAATTGTGAGGATTACTTCCGAGTCTCCATGAACATTCTTCTTCTGGAAAATATTATAGAAGACTTGAATACTCGATTTTCTCAGGAAATCCTAGAGGGCTTTCAATTATGTTCATTGCTCCCGAAGAATATTAAGGATTTGACATCGAATGAAATTACACATTTAATTAATTGTTTGATACAACGATTCTGCAATCTTTTGAAGGAAGCAGAAAAACTTCTTTACCTTAGACTTAAAGGAGAAATGACCCACTGGCAATACTTTTGGAAACAGAAGACAACCAACATTTCTAAGGAAAACTCTGAAATACCGCTAACTGCATTGGAAACTTTAGAACTTTGTGACAAAGATGTTTATCCAACCATTCACGCTTTGCTCAGAATTCTATGTACAATGTGCGTCACCAATGCAAGCGCCGAGCGGTCTTTTTCAACACTACGTCGTCTCAAAACTTGGCTCAGAACGGCCATGCTTCAACAAAGATTGGTCGGCCTAGCACTACTTTATATTCATCATGACATCGAAGTGAAACCAGAAGATATCATCGAACGGTTCGCGAATCTGGGAGCACACAGAATAGTTCTGTAATTCGTGTAATGGTAAACTTCTGCNGATTTGACATCGAATGAAATTACACATTTAATTAATTGTTTGATACAACGATTCTGCAATCTTTTGAAGGAATCAGAAAAACTTCTTTACCTTAGACTTAAAGGAGAAATTACCCACTGGCAATACTTTTGGAAACAGAAGACAACCAACATTTCTAAGGAAAACTCTGAAATACCGCTAACTGCATTGGAAACTTTAGAACTTTGTGACAAAGATGTTTATCCAACCATTCACGCTTTGCTCAGAATTCTATGTACAATGTGTGTCACCAATGCAAGCGCCGAGCGTTCTTTTTCAACACTACGTCGTCTGAAAACTTGGCTCAGAACGGCCATGCTTCAACAAAGATTGGTCGGCCTAGCACTACTTAATATTCATCATGACATCGAAGTGAAACCAGAAGATATCATCGAACGGTTCGCGAATCTGGGAGCACACAGAATAGTTCTGTAATTCGTGTAATGGTAAACTTCTGCGGTATACATGCAACACAATACACAAATGTACATATTCGTATGTATCAAAATTTTATTTCTCAGTATATTATTATATGACTCGAAACATATGATTTATAAAAATACTAGCAATTACCCGGCGTGCTTCGCTGCGCCTTAAATGTATTTTTGTGTTGTAACTCTCCCCCTAAGCTCTTATGGCCTCATTTACAAAATATTTTTAAAGAACTTTATGAAGTTAGATTTAAAAAAATCGATCTATGAAGCATTGTTTATTTTTTTTTTGANTATAGGTACATACATAATTTGAATTTTATATATATAGATAATTCATTTACAAATAATATATAATATAATAAAATAAAATGTCTATCATACCTGAATGTAAAAAATTTTTGATTCGTATTTCTCCCCCCAAAATCGAGCTCACGATCCGGCCCTGACGGCGGTACTGATACAAAAACAGTGCTCACTTAAATATTACATTTCAATAATTCCATTGCAGTAGCGTAAACTTAATTGTACTAACACTTAACTATAATACTCCCGCAGAACTACCCAATTCGCCACGGAGCGAGGACGTGTTAGAATCGACGTCGTTACGACGTCGGTTTGATGAACAAATTGTTTACCATAATGAGTCGGAAACGACGTCGCACAGTGGTTCCCTTCCATATAAATTGTGGGCAAAATTAGAATTATGGACGGATTTAAATAAAAATTCGCTTCTTAGTAAAATTAAAGACGCTAAATTCAAAAATGCAATTTGTTTTTGGATAGCTTTTCCACTTTCCCTGTAAATGCAGTTTGAAGTTGAAAATTTGGATTCTTGTGGCTGTTACATAGGTATGTACATATAGTTCGTTTTATTTTCAAAAGTGAGGTGTCAAATGACAGGGCTTGGCCTGTGGATGTGCAATAAAGATTTTTATTTTTGAAAAGGGTTGCCACCTGTTACAAATTTTATTAAAATTATTTAATAAGCCAAATGAATTGGATATTACAATATGGGTATCAATTGAACTAGTTTTGAAAATACTTTACTTCTAAACGGCACGTAAAATGGCTACCACATGTTTTAAAAATCAAATTCACTTTAATTAAGGGAATAAGGTAACTGAAATATGTATAACAATATGAGTATCAGAAAAATGAAAAATTTTGATATATTTAGAAAGAAATAAATGAAGAGTAAAAACATTCCTGAGTTAATTTAAGAGTCCAGTAATTTAAAAGGAATATAGTCAGGACAAATCACTGATTGACAGAGTATGTATTTGTATAAAATAACAAATAAAATGGCGTAATCCTATGGTTTGACGTAATTATTATTTTAATTTAACTAAATTCGACTTTACAAACAGGTGGCAACCCTATTCGTAATATTTTTAAGCTAAAATTTTCTTAAACCTCTTTCGTCTGACTCCCTTATGGTGATACCTATCTATTTAAACTACCTCATTCCTTTACTTCAAGTTGAATTTGATCTTTTAAACAGGTGGCAACTCGCTGTATGTAGTTAATACACATTTCGATTGATACCCATATCCTAACAATTCATTTAACTTATAAAAGAAATTTAATCAAATTTTTGAACAGGTGGCAACTCTTTAAAAGAAAATAAACCTTCTATTGTCTACAGGTCAAGCTTTTTAATCTGACACTGCATTTTTGAAAATGGAACGAATCGTGCAGATCTCAAGGCACTGACAAAAAATTAAAAAATAATTTTATGCATTAGCGAAAAACGCATTACTTCAGAAAGTGCAAAAAATGAGCAGGTTTTTATTTTTTCTTTTGAAAGCTAAAAACCCGTACTATTTAATAAAATAATAAAAAATAACCTATTTTACATATATTTTTTATTCATTCCATTAAAATTTAGCATTTGTTGAAATTTTGTTTAAAAAAATTGTTGTTTTGGAATACAGCAGGGACACCCTGTGTTTAATTTTATTTCCTGTAATTATTTACTATCTATATGGAAACAAGAAACGTCAAACCAACATTTTATTTCAAAGAATATATTTTTGACATTTTTTTCTGTGAAGAGCTTACGCATGGCTATGCTCTTATTAAAATTCTTAGTATAAAATTTTTCGACTTTAGCGGCTTCCTGGCGGCATATAATTAATTTTTTAGGGAAATGTCTGTTTAATTCTTTTTAGTGGATAAATTGTCTTTACAAAAAAACCAAACAAGTTCATATTGCAGATAACGAATTTTTCGATTTTTGCCCACTTAGGCGGCACTGTGCGTCGATACGAAGTCGTTTGGCAAATTAGGTAGTTTAAGTATATACTCACGTATGCATGCTTACATATCGTCGGCTTAGAGTAACACGCTGCTATGTACAATTTTTAAAAATTTAAAGAACAGATAAAAACAATTTGGTAGTTCACAAGGTGTCATAACTGCCATATTAGGTCCATTCTTTTGCAATCCAGCTACAAAAGAACACTCGCTTAAATAACGAAATACACGCAAAGCAACAACACAAACTCGGCTATTTATCCGAGTTCAGCCAGGTCTGTTAAAAAATACGCGACCTGAAGAGTAGTGTTGTTAAGTGAAAAACTGCTCTATTGTGAATTGTTACTGGGAAATTGGAGGGGGAAATTTTTGTTTTCGTATATATATGATTTATATTTTAAATAAGTTTATATATTACGCAAATACCTCGCATAATAACTAATTTCTATTGTTTTTGTGTCTAAATCCCGTTAAACTAATCACATGTTTCTTGCCAGCTACCACCAGGGTTGCTTAAGTAGCTAAAAGGAAATTTTACCCGAGCTGAGCGTTCTTTTGTCGCTCGCTTACAAAAAAATATCATAGTCATAAATCTCTAGACAGTTTCAATTGTGTTGTGATTGCTAAGATGTCAATATGACCTCATAACTTTGTAGGACACTTGCTAAAAATTAAACTTGGTAGCTTTTCATTATAAGCCAGTGAAGTTGCACATATGTGTGTACCTATGCTAAGATAAGCGCTCATTAAAATTTTCCCACTTTGTTTTATCATTCTTTCGCATAAATGTACTTGCATATGAAAATTCATACAAACATACATATGTACATAACATTTTCCTAAACTAATATTCAATATTCTTACATTGTTTGCAACCATCTCTTTTAATCACTCTCCTTATTTATGTAGAATAGCGAACATACCTACAAACATTAGTACATGCATAGCATAAATTAATATTGAACCGCATTGCTTCTACCCTTTCAATTAGCAACAACGGCATGTACTAATACTAAGGGCCGTTTTCTGAAGTAGCTTTTAACTTTAAAGCTCACTTTATATTTAAAGGTTGGATTATAAATAAAGCTATGTCTAAAGTTGAGCATTTATATTATCGGTTTTTGACGCATGTATGTTTCTTGGTTGTAAACCAATTTAAACCCGATAATAAAATTCTTTATTTTAGACATAATTATAAATTTTAATGCAACCTTTAAATACAAAGTGAGGTTTAAAGTGACAGGTTACTTGAGAAAACGGCCCTAAGAGTAACAGCGTTACACTTTTGAGCTTTTTTGGAGTTTTTATTATTTTAAAGTTGGGTACAAATAACTTAACTTTGGATTCGCGTTTTCCATTTGCACATGTAAATTGGCTATCTTCGCTTGGCTAGTTTCACTAAAAGTTTAGTGATAGTGAGTTTTTTCTAACTATCACCAAAGTTTTAGTGATAATGCAATTTGTTTTTCACTATCACTAAACCTTCAGTGATAGTGAAATTTTTTTTTCACTATCACTAGATTTTCAGTGATAATGAATTCTGCATTTTAACTATCACTTAATAAACAGTGATAGTGTAATTCAGTGGTAGTGCAAAAATGCCCAACCCTGCAAAATAGATAATAGGGTATGAAGAGTTCCATCGGGCCACATTTTTGGTTTGTCCATAGCTAAACGGCTGGGATTGTTGACTTATGCCAAAAATTTCACTTCGAATTTGATATCAGTGATGAAAACGGAATGTCAATTGCCTGACTCCAAAATTTGACGACAGTCTTCGACATGCACTGTGATATCTACATTTGCTCAGTTTTTATGATGTATTTGACCTCAAGTGAACAGCTGTAAGTTAAGACAGTTTTTGATGCCAGTAATTTTCACATAATGAAAACCAAGTGTTAGAAAAAGTTTTAAGATCATAGAGCATCGTGAGATCTTATTTATTTCTTATGAATTTATTTGCATAGCTGGGATGTGTAACTATTTAAATCAATAAGTACATTTCACACTGAGTTAATACTTAAATATTTGTGGTGGCGTGCAATAATGGTAATGGAATTAATGTCACTGTTATTAACACACAATTGAAAAGTGAATTAATGTCAATGGTATTAATAAACAGGCCACATTTTCGATGACATAAACACACTTTTATTTTGTGCATTTAGGTCTAAATAAAAAAAAAAATATATTTTTATATCATTACATATTTCACTTTTAGATGGTGAATCAATTCCAAAACGACTTACAGGTCTATTCTGCCCTGGTTATATAAATTTTGTAACCGGTAATTAAATGCCTGTCAATTTTTAAACCTTTTTCGCACTCTGTGCTCTCTTGTAACCGGTAAATTTGGTTACCATCTCATAAGCTGGTAACGAAATATTGCCCCGTGAAATATGCAATACAAAAATTTCCACAAATCTTCATAGCTGAATTGCTGAATATTTTCACTGCATTACCAACGTACCTAGAATCGCGGTGACAAGAAGTGGTAACATTTATTGGTAATAAAATTTTCTGATCACAAAATCTTCGGTAACGGGTAGAATAGACCTGTTAATATCAATAGACATTATTTCATTTTTGGCTGTGTATTAATGTCATTGACATTATTGCACGTCACCACATTTATCGAAGTTCAATGGTTCCATTTTCTTGTATACTTTTAATTCAATCGCTGCATCGAAAATATTCGTTTTTTATATACGATGCATCGATGCAATATTTCGTTGCATCAGATCGAAAAAACGTCGATGTATTTTATTGATTTGCCTCCCTAAGGCAAATATGGTGCCGCACACAATGATGCCAAATTTAGTCAGAAAGAAGAAAGTTGCAGAGTTGCTTTTTTGCAAATTAAGAGAAAATTCCATTTTTTCTAAAAAAAATCTACTCTATCCGAATTTTAGCACCACAAAGTTCGATTTTAAAAATCCGGCAATTCGGAGCTGAAATTCTATTAAAATTCGAATCTCGAAGCTTCGAATATCGAATTTACCCATCCCTAGTTTGTGTATGTACATATGTATGTTTGTGTGCATGTATATACATATGTATGCACATATGTAGTACAAACGAAAATAAGGCTGTGTGCGAGTACGTCTAAATTGCTACATAAGGGCCGGTTGTTCAATGTCTGGTTATCACTACTTGTCTGTTAAACATCATTATCGACGATTTCGACATCATGCATATAACATGTGATCGATAAAGCAGTCGTTGTATCTAACCGGAGCTTCTACCTCCGATTTGTGTTAATCAGACATTGAACAACCGGCCCTAAATAGAGAAAAATCCTAAATCACTGGAAAGTGTCGGTAACGCAGTGAATAGGAAAAATTTAGATTTTCTGCGAGCATACTTTTCAACCTAAATTGAACAGTCAAATATATTTGAGCGAGCGATTAAGTGAACAACGATTTTTTGATGTTTTAAATAATTTTTATCATTGCTATGGCACAAAAAAGAAAATATTCAGAAAGATGTAAATATAAATTTATTTGATTTTTGCATTCAGATAAGTATATGTGTAATTCGATGGATGTATATTATTTCACAGGGTCAGAAGAGCAAACGGATTCTTTTATAGATGCCAGGATGGAACATTCTCCTTTTCTGTTGCAAATTTATTATATTGTTAAATAGTCCCAAAGCTACCGCAAAATTATTCATT